GTCATGATATGGTTTAAAAATTAATTTCAAATAATTATTTTATGATGTTTATAAGTCATGATATGGTTTAAAAATTAATTTCAAATAATTATTTTATGATGTTTATAAGTCATGATATTATTTAAAAATTAATTTCAGTCAATTATTTTATGATGTTTATAAGTCATGTTATGGTTTAACAATTAATTTCAGACAATTATTTTATGACGTTTATAAGTCATGATATTATTTAAAAATTAATTTCAGACAATTATTTTATGACGTTTATAAGTCATGATATTATTTAAAAATTAATTTCAGACAATTATTTTATGATGTTTATAAGTCATTATATTATTTAAAAATTAATTTCAGACAATTATTTCATGGTGATTATAAATCATAAAATTAAAAAATTAATTTCAAACAATTATTTTATGATGTCTATAAGTTATGATATTATATAAAAATTAATTTCAGACAATTATTTTATGAAATTTATAAGTCATGATGTGACTTAAAAATTAATTTCAGATAATTATTTTACAACATCTATAAAACATGATATGCCTTAAAAATTAATTTCAATTTACATGAAAATCTAAAGTACGATTTATGAAGTATAATAATTTCATAACTATTGTACCTCGACGAATTTAAAAAATTGATTTCATAAAAGGATTACAAAATAACCGTACAATAAATTGAACAGTATGAGAAGTTTTATCTGCAAATGAATACAATAAACGACGAATCGAATTTCGCGAAATATTACAAAAGATTATGCTTGTAGAAAGAACTCGACTACAATTCTATATAATTTGTACGTTAATTAAAGCTTTTGTGAAAACTGCACATTACCAGAAAGACAATTTTTCCGATAACTCAATCTAAACCATATTTCCACGTATAAAATGCTAAATGTCCAGAGGAGTTCACAAAAGTGCATTCCCGGAATCATTAAATATTAAAATTATTTTAACGAGCGTGTTCCTGGAACAGCCATTCAAATTATTATATTCTGATAAAGTTTATCCGCGTAATTTACTCGAAAATATTTAACGACGATTCGATATAACAGGAAAATAAATCTTCGTGAACGAACTTTAAAATTCCCGTCTTTTTATCAACGCACGTCCGAGTTTCCTTGTTTGCACAATTTTTTTTCAAGATGAAAATCCTCTCCGGTTTTTCGAGTAAGCAGAACAGATTCATATCGGGCAATTTTGAAAAAGCTCTCAACAATTCCATAAATACCGCCGGGCGATTCGATGGTTTCTCGGAAATTTTCCCGCGAGTCTTATTACACGAAAAACGTAACCCAAATCGAATTCCAGCGCTGTAACCGAAAGAAATCTTCCCAGATTACCGGGGAAAACGTTTATTCTCGGCAGACGATTACCGATTTAGGAGACTACGACGTGGTTTGCCATGAATCGTCGAAACTACTTACGAACTTTCCAACATTATCGATGTTTCCACGATGGCGCAATAAAGAAACCCGCCATTTTAGTGTCTCAGCCTCTCATCACATACCTCGAGGTTTCGTTGATCGATCGAAGGAATTCCGTGTACCTTTGCTCGAATCTTCGAAACTTTTCTTTATCCTCCGTTTATAAAGTAGACTTTATACGTGCTCGGAACTCTTGATGTATTCAACGGACGGAGAGGACTAAAAAAAAAAAAGCTAAAGAGAAGAATTTTCGACCTCGAGGCGAAGGGCCCTTTCGTCGTACTGAGGGATTGACTCGATTACACGAACGTCGGAACGCAATTTTGTTGGAAAGAAAAGAATTAACGGCGCAGGGAAACGGGATCGATGGAGCTGGTGAAAATGGGAAGCACTCGTGGAATGGTTGTTTAAAAATTTTACGAGCTTTCTACTCCACGGAGTGGATACTACTTTTCCTTCTTGCATTTGTTACGGATTTAACTAATGCATTGCTCTCGCGATTCTAACCTCTAATTCGGAGAGCGTACGTTAATACACAAATCTCTTAACACCGAATCGCCAAACATATAAATTTCAGAAATACTTAAATTTTGCAAATTTTTTTTTAAAAGTCTAAATATTTGGATTGAATAGTTTTCAAATTTTGTGATTCCTAAGTTTCAGGATTGGAAAATCCAACTTTTCTTTTCAACTCCTCAAATTTTTTCTGATCTGCAAATTCCCTACATTTCCAGTTTCTTAAATTCCCTAGATTTTCAATTCTCTAAATTTCAGTTCGTCAAGTCCCTAAATTCTTACGTCCACAATTCCCTAGATCCCAAATTCCCTAGATTCCAAATTCCCTAGGTTCCAAATTCTCTAGATTCCAAATTCCCAAGGTTCCAAATTCTCTAGATCCCCAATTTCCTAGATCCCAAATTTCCTAAATTCCCAATTCCCTAGTTTTCCAATTCTCTAAATTCCCAATTCCCTAAATTCCCAATCCCTCAAATTCCCAATTCCCTAAATTCCCAATTCCCTAAATCCCCAATTCTCTAAATTCCCAATTCCTCAAATTCCCAATCCCTCAAATTCCCAATTCCCTAAATTCCCAATTCCTTAAATTCCCAATTCCCTAAACCCCCAATTCCCTAAATCCCCAATTCCCTAAATCCCCAATTCCCTAAATCCCCAATTCCCTAAATCCCCAATTCCCTAAATCCCCAATTCCCTAAATCCCCAATTCCCTAAATCCCCAATTCCCTAAATCCCCAATTCCCTAAATCCCCAATTCCCTAAATCCCCAATTCCCTAAATCCCCAATTCCCTAAATCCCCAATTCCCTAAATCCCCAATTCCCTAAATCCCCAATTCCCTAAATCCCCAATTCCCTAAATCCCCAATTCCCTAAATCCCCAATTCCCTAAATCCCCAATTCCCTAAATCCCCAATTCCCTAAATCCCCAATTCCCTAAATCCCCAATTCCCTAAATCCCCAATTCCCTAAATCCCCAATTCCCTAAATCCCCAATTCCCTAAATCCCCAATTCCCTAAATCCCCAATTCCATAAATCCCCAATTCCCTAAATCCCCAATTCCATAAATCCCCAATTCCCTAAATCCCCAATTCCCTAAATCCCCAATTTCCTAAATCCCCAATTCCCTAAATCCCCAATTCCCTAAATCTCCAATTCCCTTAATCCCCAATTCCCCAAATTCCCTAAAAATCCCTAAATCCTCAAATTCTCCCGACTTTTCATATCACAATATTTACAATTCTTAATTAACTCCCCATATTCCTTTAATCGCTTATCTCCAACAATGGCCATATAGCGAGACTTCCTAAAAAAATCTCCAACACGCGCCTTAGAATACAATTATTTCATCGTATTAAGAAAAAAAATGCTGAAATTAATTCGCAGACGCTTTAAGATCAGAATAAATCAGATAAGAAGCACGGTACACAAGGTTTAAATAACTTTCCCATCAATTTTTCTTGCAAAACGTTTAAGTATGCTCGCAACTGGGATTACATCGTCAGTACCAGGACCGTTTAATATACATCGAAGCTTCGACAGTGCAATCGATAGAAGTTGCTTATTGGCAATTTGTCGAGTGATGGGGATGGGATGTAGAAACCTAGTAACGAGGAGGTTGTTTTCCGAAGACGAGGCTCCTGCCTCCCGGCGGAAAATCGTCTCCACCCTCTCTTGGCCATCGAATGCACCATGGTGCAGCAAATTTAAAGGGGGTGGATGAAAAGGGGGACGGCACGACGAGCCTTCCGCGGGATGCAATTTATCCTGTCGCATTAGATTCAAAATAATTGATCCCCCGGGCAGACGCGGAATAGCGAGTCATTACTTGAGACTGATGACTACGCCATTGGCCGAGCTGCCCGGATGAAAATAAAAACTCAGAAATCACCTGCTACCGATGAAAAATTTGACGGGCCGAGAAGAAAAGAAGACGGAAGGGCTAAGGAGATATAGAACGAGCTGCAAGATGAGGTCCTTTTTTCACTACGAGATGGATCCGTTATAAATTGTGTTATTGGTCTGAATTATGTGATGTACTTTTCACTGGTGGTTTTCTGCGAGATTTTTTGATTGGTTTCATCCAATATTTTTTTTATTAGCTGTAACGATGATTCAATGTTATCGTATGTGCCTGTAATGTTCATATGTGTATGTTAACACATATGTATATATTTATAAACATTTATGTATGCATGTTAGTTTATACGTGTGTAGATGTGTACATACGTACTCATATGGGTATACATATACACATATACATATGCATACACATATGCATACACATATGCATACACATATGCATACACATATCCATACACATATGCATACACATATGTATACACATATGCATACACATATACATAAACATATACATATACATATACATATAATTATGCATATACATATACGAACTAACATTATACACATATGTTATACATGTAGACATGAACATATGCATATATGTATAAATATAAAACTCTGAATATAAACAATAATAGTGATGGTATATAATTTCTAAATTCCATAGAGAATATTTTTCATAATGACCTGATTAATCCTCGCCATATATTGCATATTACAGACGCACGGAAATGTTTTCCGGAAACAAATATTCTATCAAACGAATATTACGCGGCGTTTCACAAATGATCGAATCTGCTTTGACGCGATATTTGAAACGTGCGTGAGACGCGTTAAGGTAGATCCGGCGTAATAATTGAACCCGGTATCGAATTTCGCGGCCCTTAATAGATATCGTCAAAGATAATATGTACCGCGAGTAGAAGCGTGTCGTTTAAAATGAAATTTGTATCAACGGCACACGATCGCTTTCATATTCATGGTCTATTAAAATTCGCCAACTATATACGTATCCCCGCGAAATGATTGAAATCTGAATAAAACACGAGCGCCATGCATGAAATCTCGTCTGTGTAATTCGCGTAATTAATAATTTTGATGACGCGTACATTGTCGGCGCAACACCATGGTCCGAAACAATTTACAAAACCGTGGAATGAAAAAAGAAAAAGGCGAAAACGTGTACTCACGTATATCGAGCGCTCGTACGTCGACAGTTGCCCCGAACAGCGCCAGCAATGCCCAGAACTTGGCAATTATTGGCAGGCAATCAGTCTTCATGGTCGCTGAGATGCGATGTCTTCATGGAAGCTCGCCGGCGATCGCCTGAAAAACATATCATAGCTGAGAAAAAAAAAATGTATCTCCAAGTTTATATACCCTCCGGGCGAAATTACTTTCTTAAGTTCTGAACTACTTTCCGAACTGCTATTCGGTCAGCTTCATTTTTTATAACGGGCCACGAAAACCCGCTTGGAACGTTATTACGCCACGGAAATTAAACTATCGTGATTTAGAAGGTTGATTATTAACGTCGGCTCACATTGACTTTTTCATAATTCCAATATCGAAGTTTTATGCTTTTAACATCGATGCAGTTTTCGTGATAAGATTTTGCTGCATTCAGAATGACGGCCGTTTATTAGAATAAGGGGATAGGAAGGATGTTTTATTGGAATTTTTGTGAGGCGTTGTAACTGTGACATAATTAGGGTAATTTAGGGATAATTAGGGAAATTTTTGGAGATTTAGGCAATTTAGGGAATTTAGGAATTTAAGGAATTTAAGGAATTTAAGGAATTTAAGAAAGTTAAGGAATTTAGGGAATTTGGGGAATTTAGGGAATTTTTCAATTTCTCAATTTCTCAATTTCTTAATTTTCCAATTTCCCAATTTCTCAATTTTTCAATTACTCAATTTCTCAATTTCTCAATTTCTCAATTTCTCAATTTCTCAATTTCTCAATTTCTCAATTTCTCAATTTCTCAATTTCTCAATTTCTCAATTTCTCAATTTCTCAATTTCTCAATTTCTCAATTTCTCAATTTCTCAATTTCTCAATTTCTCAATTTCTCAATTTCTCAATTTCTCAATTATTCCAATATTCCAATTTTCTAATTTTCCAAGTTTTCAATTTTTCAATTTCTCAACTTCTCAACTTTTCAATTTCTCAATTTCTCAATTTCTCAATTTTTCAATCTGACAAATTTTCAAATTCCAATTTTCTCAATTTTTCAATTCCTCGCTTTCTCAATTTTCAAATTTCCAAGTTCCTAAATTGTCCAAATTTCAGATTCAAAATATTCCTACATCTCAAAACGCAAAAATCCCAAATTTCCAAATTCACCGCATCAAACCCCTTCGTCCATCCTCACCACCTATCAATAATCAGATCCCAACAATGCTCACTCATTTGTCACATCCAGATAACTCACCCGCAAACAACCCACCAACAAAATACAAAATACCCCACATTCATTCCCCAACAATCGATCGAAAAGGTCATCAATCTCGAAGATCCATCTCATCAGGCTCTCGTTTCTATTCCGCGCAACACGTCCTCCGTTCTCTCACGCTCGAAACGTTTATCGCAGCCTTCCAATTTCTGCTCTGTTGTCCTTGGATCCGATAAGAGCATCGATCGTTATTGGATCACGTAGAGAGCGGAGCAAAAAAAGAATTGTTAACCATCCGGCATATTTCTAGGCCGAGGAACGGTTTAGCAGCGAGGGTTAAAAGAAGAAAAACGTGGGGTGTAATCGACTTAAGAGTAAAACCACGATAGGTCGTTGGTTTCGTTTTACTTGGCACGGCACTGGACAACCAGTCAGCTTCCGGTGGTTTCTGTGGTACGTGTGTCGCCTAGAGAAACACACAGAAAGAGAGAGAGAGAGAGAGAGAGAGAGAGAGAGAGACTGTGACTGGTAATCGAGTCCCTGCTCAATTAGACCAACCTTGCACTTTTGCGTCCTCCGGTTGGCATCGCGAGAGAAAACGATCAGTGGAAAAGAGAGAGGAAGAGCTTCTTTGGCTTTGTTCCATTTTTATTGCAGACCCGGAAACGGCTTTTACGGACACGCAAGTACCATTCGACGTGCTACTCAACTCGGTGAAATGAAGAAAAGGGGAATTTCGCTGCAGTCGGTTACGGACGCTGGACAAAGCCCAATTAATGGCACGAGATGTAATTGATTACGATGGACTGCGCCATTTTTGCTACCTTTAGAAATCTGGAAGGTGGAACCACTCACATTTCTTCCTGAAATTATTTCCCCTATACAAAACTTGTGAGATTAAATACAACGATGTAGGGATTAATTCTTAGTCGGACTGGTTATGTTAATTTGGGGAATTGAGGTGTTTGGAAGTTTGGATGCGGAAAATTTAGGAATTTTGGGGAATTTGGGGAATTTGGGAAATTTAGGAAATTTGGGAAATTTGGGAAATTTGGGAAATGGGAAATTTGGGAATTGGGAAATTTAGGAAAAGGGAAATATGGGAAATAGAAAATTTGGGAATTGGGAAATTTGGGAATTGGGAAATTTGGGAATTGGGAAATTTGGAAGTAAGGAAATGTGGTAATTAGGAAATTTAGAAATTGGGAAATGTGGTATTTGGGTAATGTAGTAATTGGGAAATTTAGGAATTGAGATATTTGGAAATTGGGAAATGTGGTAATTGGGAAATTTGGAAATTGGAAAATTTAGGAATTGGGAAATTTGGAAATTTAGGAATCGGGAAATATGATAATTGAGAAGCTTGAGAATCCAAAAATTTGGGAAATATTTAAATCTGGTAAATGCATGTATCCTACTAAAATCTGGTTTTGCCCAAGGCCTTTTAAACTCCAGCGACAGCACTGTTCTAAAGTATCATTTAAAGTAACTACGCGAAATATATTTGTTCAAGCGTCTAGTTTATCAACTTTTGTATGTCTTCCACGAATTTTCCACGAGTCTGTTAGTTTTTAAGAAAGTGTTTCTCCTTGTTAGAAACGGAACATTCACGGTGCTGGAAAGATGTAAATGTATGTTAATCGCGGGAAACTTTGCACTCTTCTGAAAAATGGAGTTTCGCCGTTCTTCGGTTGAAATTCAAAAGCTGAAACTTTTATCTTCCCTCGTAATCGCTATTACTGTAACAATTTCTTCGCTTCGTTTGGATTATATCTGCAAACCACGTACGTTTTCAAACCTTCAATTTAAAATAAAACTGTACAAATTACTGATTTTATGTGTCATTTCATTTGTACATTTTTATGTGTCTTCTCAGGGAACAAAATCGGTGAGAACAAGTCTTATTTTTAATTGATAATTTCATCGATATTAATATTTTTTAAATAATTGAGTATTAGTTGTTTCCACATTTCTCAATTTCCAAATTTCCCAATTCCTAAAATTCCCAAATTTCCCAATTTCCAAATTTCCCAGTTCCCAATTTCCCATTTTCCCAATTTCCCAATTTCCCAGTTCCCAAATTTCTCAATTCCCAAATTTCCCAAATTCCACATATCCTCAATCCCACATGTCCCCAATCCCACATGTCTCGAATCCCACATGTCCCAAATCCCACATGTCCCAAATTCCACATGTCCCAAATTCCACATGTCCCAAATCCCACATCTCCCAAATTCCAAATTTCCAAATCCCAAATTTCTCTAATCCCACATATCCCAAATCCCACATGTCCCAAATCCCACATTTCCCAAATCCCACAGGTCCTAAATCCTACATGTCCCAAATTCCACATTTCCCAAATCCCACATTCCCCAAATCACAAATTGCCCAGTTCCCGAATATCTCAATTCCCAAATTTCCCAATTTCTAAATTTCTCAATTTCTCAAATTTCCCAAATTTCCTCAACCTCCCTTACTCCCTAACTTCCCTACTTCTCCCAATCTCCCCAATCCCCTATTTCCCTAACTCCCCCTACCACTCAAATACCCAACCTCCCATATTACCAAACATTCTCACGTCCCAGTTTCCAAACATACAATTACCCGTACAAAAACACGGTTACAGCGCGTCGTTACAATAAACCATCGAATTTGAATAGATACACTATCACGATTGTCTTTCATCGAAACGACTCGGTGTCTCGGCATTACCTAATTAATAGACGGAAGTGAATCGAGTTTCACGATAGCGAAATAACAATAATTTCTATCGTATTCACAAAATATCAAATTACGATTGTTTCGTTCGCGAGAATCATTATTATCGAATGTATCGGCCGACGGTATCGGTTGTTGAAATGTGAAATGTCTCTAACCATAATTTGAGGGATCCGCGGTTTCAACGTAATAATATCGTTTGTCGAGGTTTTTGTCCAGGGTTTACGTCAGCGCGCGGAGATGTTTGGCCATTAATTAAACAACGCTGTGCGTGTAATTTAATCCATACACGAGATTCAATATCCTCGTTAACGAGATACTAATTGCACGGATGTTTCAATTATTGCAAATATGTTATGACTACCGAGGGTACTAGACAAACTTTAAATAGCCCCTTTCATCACGACCGTTCTTCATTCCGTATCGATTCCTCCATCATTCGGTGATGTACGTTTTTACTCAGATTTAAACCCCTCAATACACAGAGTTTCATCATCGATATTATTTAAATTGAAAGACCAGTTCGAAATATCGAGTTTCTTCTGACGCACGAATTATCGGGATAAACGAATTTGTAGAATGCCATTTCGTACGCGCCACTCAAAAGGTTAATACGTTTAATCTTTCCCCGTTAAAAGGTTTTCGAATTTCGTATGCATTTCGATTATAAAAAATAAACATTCAGATATTTATCAGGTTATGAAGATATTTTATCGCGGAAGTTTTCGTATTTTTATTTTGTTGATTTTTTAGAGTTTCAGCTCGTAGCCATCACTAGGATCTGTTTTCCCAGATTTCGGCTGACGGTCCAAGTTTCACTGATTCTTGCACAACTCCATAAAATCTCGAACGTATTCCGCGGACGCAGCAGAAAGGAATTGGCCCCAGTCATTATAGGGGAGCAAGTCCTTGGAAACTGTTTTCAGTTTCGAAAAATTTTGTGGAAACGTTTCCTTTTCCTGCTCTTAACGGTACAAGTTCTACGGGATATGGGACTCGGTTATGTCTTTCGATTCTCTTTATGATTTCTTCTTTAATGGGGGTGGAATCGGTTAAAAATTTTCCTTTTCATGGTTTTGTTCTTTAACCCTTCAGTTCACTGATCAGGAGAAAGTAACTTTCTTAATTTTCCTAATTTTCCTCATTTTTCCTAAATTTCCAAAATTTCCTCATTTTCCTCATTTTTCGTAAATTTCCTAATTAGGAACTAGG